TTACACAGTGGCTGCAACAATGGGCTCAAACATAACAATGATTGTGAGGATGGCATAGAACCAGGCAGTGTTTCGTTCTATTGTACAAAGGCCTTATGAGCTGGAACCGACTGTAAGGCACCCAACAATAACAAAGCACAATCAATTTTAACATGTTAGAAATCTAAAATTCATACACTGCTTTGAACATACAGCAGTAAATATTCAAACAAGTTAATCTTCAAGTTGACTGAGTAGTCTTTCTTTTTAATCCTCACTAATAACCAGTAAAGGCCTACTAAAATTTAGATCATCATTATAATTTTATTTTTACAGTCAGATATATCAAACATTTTTTATTTTTAATAATTTAGTCAAAGAAAATAAAAATCCTCAGGGTATCTACCATATTTTTTGGCTATTTTCTCAAATTAAAGACAGTTGATCCTCATTATTCATGGGTTCTGTATTTGTGAATTTACTTACTAAAATTTACCTGTAACCCCAAAACCAATACTCACAGAACTATCACATCATTTGTAGATATGCGTGGTGATGGTGGTGGTGGTGTGCCACTGAGTTGGTTCCAACTCATAGTGACCCTGTATAGTGTTTCCAAGGCTGTAAATCTTTACAGGAGCAGAAAGCCTCATCTTTCTTCCGTGGAGCAACTGGTAGTTTCAAACTGCTGACTTTGCAGTTAGCAGTCCAGTGCATAACCAACTACGCTACCATGCATAGTGGCAAAAAATGTGAGTTGCATGATGCACATGTTGCAGCTGAGGTACAACAAGGCTGGATCAATACTCGGGACTTTATAAAACACAGCTACAGCAATGTTTTATAAATAAGAATCAACTGTACACCCTATACTTGTCCTCTGAATCTTAATGTTCCTCATGACAACATGTTCAAGTGTTTAAAAATCATTTAAGTTCTCATTTTCTGCATTTTAAAAATAGGAATATGGAAGCACCAACATGATAAAATTGTTGTGAAGACAACATTAGCAAATATATGTGACTACTTAGAAGAGTGCTTGCCACACAATACCTATTCAATGTTGTTATTGTTATCATTAATATTATTACAGAATGGAGTATTAATTAATAATACTAATGTGAACTGGAGTTGTCAAAAGGCTTATAGAAAAAGTAGAAAATGAGACTATTTGAATAAGAACTTGAGTAGTGCAAAGGGAAGAAGAACAACATTTGGACCAGTACAGAGAAGTCACAAGTGCATAAAGGCAGCATCAGATTTTAATGTAGGCGAGAAATCTAACAAGGATGACTAAAATCAGCATATAATGAGAGCTATGGTAACTGTTAAGATCACTGTTCAAAACTTATGAACATTCCTAATCCTCAATTTCCTCAACTTAGAAATGAAGGTAATTTTGATAACTATAATTATCTCAGGATTTTATGAGGATTAAATATCATCCTTAAGATGCTTTATATAGTGCTTGACAAACAGTAAGTGCTCAGTACATGTTAGCAATAATAATAAATAAATAAACATACCAGTGTATGTGGTTCACTCTCTTTTGATTGTGGACTTATCTCACGGTCTTCATCAAAATAGTTCTGCTGGGAAGGATAACCCACTTCTGCTGAGACAACATCCTCTAGCCCTGGATTGGATTTAGTGTACAAAGCTAAAGGGTTGAGCTCTCTGAAACCCTGGAATTTTAAAAAGGGAGAAAGGATTTGATTACATGACCAAGAAAGAAAAACAATGTGAAATCATTAGCATTTTATAATTTTCAATTGCTGTGAAATATACTATCATCTAAAATTTAATGGTCAGAAAGTTTCTGCATATTGATAATTTTTCCTACTTACAAAACTTATCAATATCCATATTACTAATCATGTAGACATCATTATAAATAAGTGCAAAAGAAGATTTTTTTCTTCTCTAGGAAGACCTCAAAGAATGAAATACCTGGTGTAATCAACCAATTATTTAAAATATTCATATTCTAAAGGACAATAAGCTAAATGTAGTTTTTCTGTTCATATGAATATTAAGAGAGTGCTCTACATTTGGAAGGCAGGAATCTCCTGGGTATCACTAGAGGTAAAGAAAAATCAAATCACTTTCTTCATCAAATTGTCTTAAACCTTAGGGTTGAGATTAAATAAAATCTATTACAAAATACAAAGTGTTCCACCTTAGAAGGGACATTTTCTCGGCATACAATTGCATGGCCTTCTGTTCTCAAGACATGATGGAAGTAGACATCTTCATTTGAGGATGTATCACACAGAAAAATGTTAAGGATTCCATCTATGTATTCATCTACTACCCCGACTAATGGTTTCAAACCACACAACTTCTGGAACTGCAAAACAGCTCTGGATGTCCAATGTTCCTGAAATATAATTGAGATATGAGATTCAGGTGACAGATTTAAACATGAATTATAATAACCATATACAAAAATGAACTAATGATGAGCTAGAGGTTAAAACTGCATGAACTTCCAGAATATCAACAAATCTGTGTTGAAAGAAGTATAGCTAGAATGCTCCTCAGAAGCCAGACATGTTATTAGGAGGGTCCTGGAAAAGATCATCATGCTTGGTAAAGTGGAGCATGAGCAAAAAAGAGGAAGACTCTTAAGGAGATGGAATGACTCAGTGGCAGCAACAATGGACTTATATGTAACAATTGTGAGAATGGCACAGGACTGGACTGTGTTTGGTTCTGTTGTGCATACAGTCACTATGAGTTGGAACCAACTGAATGCACCTAACAACAACAATATCCTATGGAGTAGATTTTTCAAGGAACTAAAAACTTTAACAATACTTGTATAGTAAAAATAGGTCCAAAAAAGGAAGTTAAGTAAGCTAGTGTGCTCTAATGTCATTTGATTTTTATACATAAACATGATGTAATTGCTAGGACAATCACTAAAATAGTGTATTCATGTATTCCGTCAGATACCACTCATTGGGGCCAGTTTTTCACACTGTGATGGTGACTATGTGCCACTGTGATGCTGGAAGCTATGCATGGTGGACAGGTTTCAGTGGCGCTTCCAGACTCAGACAGACTAGGAAGAAGTAGAGGAGGATTCCTTCCGAATGATTGTTGTTTGTTGTTGTTGAGGAACGTTGTCGAGTCGGTTCTGACCCATAGCATCCCTGCAAAGGGTTTCCAAGGAGCAGCTGGTGGTGGGTTTGAACAAGCCAACCTTATGGTTCGTAGTCCAGTACTTATCCTACAGCACCACACCACAAGTCCTCGGAATGATTAGCCACTGAAGACCTTATGAATAGCAACACAACAGTGCCAGAAGTGGAAGGATAAACAATAGAAGCACAACATTGCCAGATACAGTCCCTCAGGTTGGAAAGCACACAAAATAACACTAGGAAAGAACTGCTGCCTCAAAGGTGAGTTGACCTTAATGACATGAATGGAGCAAAGCTTTCAGAACCTTCATTTGTTGAAGGGGCATGACTCAAAATGAGGAGAAACAGCTGCAAATATCCATTAATAATCAGAACACAGAATGTAAGAAGAATGAATCTAGGAAAACTGGAAGTTGTAAAAGATGAAATGGAATGCATAAAGATCAGTATCACAGTCATTAATAAGCTGGAATGAACTGCAATTGGCCAGTTTGAATCTGACGATCATATGGGCTTCTACGCCTGGAAGAAAAAATTCAAGAAGAATGGTGTCACTTTCATCATCAAAAAGAACATTTCAAGATCTATCTTGAAAAAAGACAAGCCAATTAAAAAATGGACAGAAGACATGAACAGACACAAAGGAAGACATTCTGGTAGCCAACAAACATACGAAGAAACAGTCATGATCATTAGCTATTAGAGAGATGCATGTCTTAACAACAATGAGATATCATCTCACCCCAGCATTAATACCGAAGTTCAAAGAAACCCCAAAACAAAACAGTAAAGAACAAATGTGGAGAGAAGGACCCTTCTACATTTCTGGGGGATTGCAAAATGACTCAACTACTGTGGAAAATGGTATGGTGTTTACTCAGAAAGTTTGAAATAGAAATACCTTGTGGCCAAGCAATCCCTTACTTGGTATATATTCACACACACACAGCTAGGACACGAGTAGACATATACATACCAATGTTCATCACAGCACTATTCACAATAGTAAAAAGATGGAGGCAGTCTAAATGTCCATCAATGGAGAATGAATAAACAAACTTTGGTACACATACACAATGGAATACTATACAACACTGTAGAATGACGATGAATCTGTGAAACACCTCATAACTTGGATGAACCTGGAAGACATTATGCTAAGTGAAATAAGTCAATTACAAAAGGTCAAACTTGTATGAGACCATTGTTGTAAAACCTTAAGAAAAGGTTTCCAGACTAAAAGAAGTTTGTTGATGGTTATCAGGGGTGGGAGGGCAGGGAGAGTAATTCACTGGCTAGATGGCAGTCACCTTAGCTCCATTGATGGGGAGGGTAATATACAAGAAGGGTGGGCAAAATATAAGAAGAGGGAGGGTGGCAGAAGAATAATGAAGATAAGTGAAGATACAGGGAGGAAAGCAAGGGCTAAAGGGGATAGAGGTCAATAGTGATACATACACAACAGTGTTCTGTGTGTAGATACATGGACAGAGACATGGGCTGAATGGGGAAGAAAGGAAGAGTAGGATATATATATTTATCTCACAAATATGTAAGAGTTTGAAAGAGAAAAAAGAAGTATTCTTTGATGGTTGCCAGGGGTGGGAGAAAAGGGAGAATATTTCATTGGCTAGAACTAGTAGTTGACATGACAGGGAGGGTAATATACAAGAAGAAGGAGGCTGACAAAATGATGAAGACAGGTGTATGCAGAGAGGTATACAAGTCTAAAAGGGTTAGAGGTAATAGTGATATACATACAACCTTGGAACAAGCATGTTTAGCAGATAGATACATGGACAGAGACACATGTTGAATGGATATGGGAGGAAGTAAATATATATGGTGGTGGTCATGTGCCGTGGAATAGGTTCTGATTCATAGTGACCCTGTGCAGTTTCCGAGGCTGTAAATCTTTATGGGAGTAGAAAGCCTCATCTTTCTTCCATGGAACGAATGTTAGTTTCAAACTGCTGACCTTGAGGTTAGCAGCCTGACTCATAACCACATATATATGGAGTCCTGGTGTGGTGCTTAGGAATTGTCCTGGACTGCAAGGTCAGTTTGAATTGCAAGTCAGTGGTTCAAACTCACCAGCCACTCCTCAGAAACTCTATACAGAGTTGCTATGAGTCGGCACTGATTGGACGGACTTCACAACAAATATATATTGGAGTCCTGGTGTGGCACTGTGGGTTAATGAGCTAGATTGCAAAGTTGGTTTGAACTGCAAGGTTGGTGGCTCAAGTTCACCAGCTGTTCCTTGGAAACCCTATACAGGGTCACTATGGGGCAGAACCAACTCAACGACACTTAATAACAACATACGTGTGTGTGTGTGTATGCATTTGTACACACATACACATATCCCACAGATATACAAGAGTTTGAAAGAGAATACTAGTACATGAATATTTACCTTTTCTGCAAACATAACTATGAATGTGGTGAAACATATAGTGGGCAAAATGATTATAACTTCATAGATAGTATCAAACATCTTAAGGCAACGAGTAGTTAGCTGAGTCTGGGAGCTCAGGACCATAGTTTTAGGGCACACCATGGTCCGTTGGCATAACAAAGTCCAGAAAGACAATGTTCTACATCCTATTTTGGTGAGCAGCATCAGGTTACTAAAAATTCATGAGCAGTCATCTAAAGTGCAGCTATTGGCCTCTCCATGCACAGAAGAAAGAAGAGTAATGAAAACTGAAGATGCTTAGAATCAATTAGTCCAACAGATTAATGGAACATGTGAACATCAGTCTCTAAGACTCTGAGGCCAGAAGAATTAGATGGTGTCCAGTTACCACTACCAACTGCTCTGAAAGGGATATTAGAAGGTCCTGGATAGAGTGACAGAATATGTAGAATAAAACTCAAAATCATAAAAAAAAACAACAAAACAACTAGGCTTACTGGTCAGTAAGACAATGGAAGAGCCTGAGACTATGGCCCTTGATCCACCCTCTCAGGTCTGGAAAGGATCTCACCCTCATGGCCCAACTTTCAGCCAAGCAGTAGATAGGTACATAGGAGGAACAGCAACACTAGTAAGGCATGCTCACTATGAACAATGAAACATTCAATCATTCCAAATCAAAGGGACAACTTGTACCTAAGGACAAAGGTGAGAAGGGGTGGGAAGGTGGGTGAAATGGAAATAGGAGCCACAGGGAGGAAAGCAGGATGACGGTTGTTCTTAGGAGGGGATTGCAATCATTGAGATGAAATAAAGTATATTATTTGTTGAATATAAAACTGATGATCTTGTCTGTAAGCCTTCGGCTCAATTCATAATAAAAAATTTGTAAAAAACAACAACAAAAACTAACTGAACTATAGGAAGAAATAGACAACATAACACTTCTCTCAATAACGGATAGAAAAATCAATGCAGATAAAAAATGTTTTACACAGAGATAATGACATGGAGCGATGGAGCGGCTGGGGACTCTAGACCTAGAGAGGTAGAAGGGCTGTGTGCTGATGACCAGGTGGGGGTGGGGAGGCAGCACACTTGAAGGGTATACCCTTTGATTGGTTGATGAAGCATGGAGGGGATTGTAACCATGGCAATAAAACATATACGATAGGATGAATGTAAAGCTAATGTTCTCCCATTTAAACTAACACATAATTCATAATAAAACATTTTAAAAAATAATGTTTTACACAATAAACTTAACCAATGGATATGTATGAAATACTGACAACAACGGCTGCAAGTGCATATGATCATTTACAGAAAGTGACCATATACTAGACCATAAACTAAACCTCATATACCAGAGGGCTGTTCTTACCCAGAGTGTGATCTTGGGACACAATGAATTTAAAGTAGAGATTAATATAAAACTATAAGTTAGACAGACTCTTGTTTCTACACTAACAAACTTCTATATAATCTATGAATCAAATAAGAAAGCAAAATATAAATTAGAAAATATTTTGAACTGAACAGTAATAAAACTTTTGTACAAATAAACAAAAAGTACAGGTAAGAAAATAATTAAAATATACAACACGCTTACAACAGACAGGATAAGGAAAAGTCAAAACTGGTTCTTTGAAATAATACTGTTGAGTACTTTTAAGTACTTTTTTAAAGTACAGTTTTAAGTTCTGTCGAGTCGCTTATGACTCATAGCAACTCTATATAGGGTTTCCAAGGAGCAGCTGGTGAGTTTGAACTGCCAACCTGGAGGTTAGCTATTTAGTGCTGATCCTA